AAGATGGCCAGCAGGGGAGGGAGGGACCAGGCCTGCAAGGGAGGGCAGTTGAGAGGGACCAGGCCTACAAGGGAGGGCAGTTGGAGGTGATCAACCCTGCAGAGGAGGGCAGTTAGGTGGAACCAGGCCAGCAGAGGAGGGAAGTTGGGGGCAAACAGGCTAACAGAGAAGCAGTTAGACATCAATCAGGCTGGCATGGGAGTGGTTAGGGAGTGATCAGGCTGGCAGGCAGAAGTGATTAGGGGAAATTAGGAAGGCAGGCAGGCAAGCAGTTGGGAGCCAGCAGTCCTGGATTGTAAGAGGGATCCCAGATTGGAGAGGGTGCAAGCTGGGCTGAAGAACAACCCCCCTCCCCACCGCCCCCGTGCACAAATTTTGTGCACCGGGCCTCTAGTGTATTAATAAGCCTTTCAGGTATCTTAATATCCCATATTATTTCACTACCTCCCAATAGCATTCACATTCCTGGGTAATAAAAAATGTGCATTTGAGGCATTTGAGTTTCAGTTCTTAGTAAAAGCAGCACTAAACATGATATCATGGATTAGGAAAGAACATTAGGTAAGAACTAGGACAACCTAAAGAAACTATGACCTTCAATCAATAATGTATTAGCAATAATGAATGTGACAAACATACCATACAAATAAGATGTTGAGAATAAGGGAGACTGGGTGTGGGGGTATCTGGGAACTCTACCATCTTCAGATTTTTTTAAAAATCTAAAACTATTCTAAAATACAAAGTTTAAGAAAAAGTAGGATTGAAATTACAAATTAAAAAAAAAAAAAAACTAACAAAAAGACCAATAAAAAAAGAACACAAACTTTAACATTCAGATATATAAACTTTGGCTAGTTTCTTTATATGCAGTTCCAGGCAGCACTCCTATCTTCACAAAGGGTTATTTCCATCTGAAATCTAAGGGAACCCTCATAGCCCTTAGAGTTGCGGGCACTTTCTTGAGAGAAAAGTCTAATGAAGAGCTGCAGTCCCAACAGGCGTGCTGGGCTCCCGGGGGTCGGTAAAGCATGAAGTACTTGTACATGGAACCACACGGAAGGGATCACGTGAGTGGGTATTGGCATGTGCTAACTTTTTCTTACAGTGATAAACCCCCTTCCATCCAGAATGAATTTGTGGATTAAATTAAAACAGTAAAAATAAAGAGTAGCCCAACATGTCAGAACAAGCATTTTACCAAGAATGACTTCAATCACAGGAGGCTTAACTTGCTTGAAATTATGTACAATTGTTTCTTGAAATTTCTGTATGCTAAGCATTAGCAGCCAATGTAACCTGACATTTTACCATTCCTCAGAGGGTTTCCCATTGGACAGTACAACCACCTGGAGAGAATGATGGCACCTGGCCACCTGACATAGCAGAGCCGAGTCACCTCGGTGCCAGGTCTTACAAAAACCCTCAGCTCTGGTCCAAACAGTGCCCAGACACACTCCTTAGGGTGTCTGCATGCTCTACCTGCACCCTTCTCTGAGAAATGCCACTCACTAGTGACAAAGTGGGCCCGGGGCCATGTATATACCACTTTGGGGACCCCCCAACCTCAAGCTCACTGAGACCACTGCAGCAGGGCCAGGAAAAGACACTGCATGAAGGACAGGGGAGTAGAGTCCATCTCTCCTGAATCTAGGACATGTCAACTGAGGGCTGTGGAATGCCAGTGTCCAGGCCTCAGAGACACAAGCAGCAGACTCTGCAGAAAGCGGCACATGAGAGACCACATTACAGGGTAAGCACTGTCACGCTTCATGTGAGCTTCCGGGGCCTGACTTAAGATGACCTGCAGACTCCTAATAAGCTCCTAATTTTTACTAAAAAATCTGAGTGAGTTTCTCCCATGTGGCCAACTGACTTCCAAGGCAAGAATACGGACAGCACCCAGCACATGGAATTCAGGGGTAAGGCTTGCCTAGCTGGCCTGTGACCCAGGCTAACCATGGACTCTCCCACCTCACAATACAGGACAACACAGGGGGAGAAAACTGACCCAAGTGCAGAGACGCCGCCCGCCTCCAGCACCACAGTCACGGCCACGGGAAGTCTGGGCGCCGTGTCCTCCCTTCCACTCGCCGTCCCCTCTGATGATGCCACTTCCTCAGCCAGGGATGCTGCACACCCAGGTTATTATGATGTTCAATGTGTAACTATGCAGCCAGATACCATTTCTCATGTTTTTCTATTAATTCATATGCCTTCTTTGTCCAAACTCTCATCCATATATCTTTTCCAGCTATGATCCAAATGTTCCTATTTCTTTATAAATATTCGTTAGAGATCTCAAATTGACATTTCTAACCCTGATCTCCACATCTTCCCTCCCTCTCACTACTCTTCCAACCTGTCTCCAATATTATTTAATTTTAGCAAATGCACCTCCAACAGCCCGTTAACTGGCCAAGTAAATGTCTGGATCTCACCTTTGAGTCCTTCTCACTTCCCCCACACCTACATCCAATCAATTACCAAGTCCTGTCTCATCACTCTCTCAAATCCGACCACTAGGCTCCTTTCCTACTATCACTACCCTCCCTCAGATCACAACTGCCCATTGCCTGGATCACCAGTCTCCTAACGAGCCTTCCAGTCTTGAGTCTGATCTCTGCCCATACCAATGCGGCCTAATCTCATTATGTGACTCATACAAATACTCTGCAATTTAAACTCTTCAGCTGCTTCATACCCTCCCAGGACAGAGTACTCACATGAAATTCTGGCCTCATTTCTTTCCTCCCATTCCTGTACTATGATCCATCCATCCTAAGCTTCTGAGTTCCTACCCCACCCCCACCCCCACCCCCACCTCCCAAACTCCCCCGTCTCTCTCTCTCCAGGGCCAGGGATTGAGCCTGCAACCAAAGTACATGCTGTTGACCAGAATTGAAAATTGAACCTAAGACCCTTCAGTCCCCGGACCAATGTTCTATTTATTGAGCCAAACTGGCTAGAGCTTTTAAGCTCTTTAAAAAGGGCATATTCTTCTGTTCTTATTGTCTGAAATATTCTTCACTTGACTTCCCACCTGCATCTGACCATCTCTTACTGATCTCTAAGTTCTCAGCTTCAACTCTTCCTCTGGAGGCTGTTTCCTATATTAAGAGTGGGAGTGGCTTCCATGGTGCTCCCACAGCACCCACACTTCCCCACTGCAGTGACTGTCAAGCCCCCACAAGATCAGCTCTTACTCACCAGAGTAGCCCCATCACCTTTGTCACTCAGTGCCTGACACACTGCAGGGCTCAATGACTAGTGGTTGAAAAAGTAAGTAATTCCATTTTCATATTCAATACCAATGTTTTACCTCCGAATGTGATTCACGACTACTCCCATGGCATTGGCAGGTAAACCAGAAATAAGAGCAAGCTGAATGGAGGAGACCGTGCTTGCTCAGGGCACAGCCCTCTCCTCGACTAAAGCACGTGCACAGGGGAAGCAGCAGAGAGCAGACAGGCCCCATGTTTTCTAAAAGCTTAAGATTTCGGTGCTGAAACAGCTTATTGTTGTTTACAACTGAGGAAGCTGATCAGGGCTGACCAGGAGAGAAAACTCTCTGGTGATGAAATGGTTTCCGTCTGCAAAGTTCCCACATTAGTGAAATGGTCACAAAACAAGATTTCACTGTTGGAGGGAGAGTGTGCTAAAAAGCAGTGAAAACACACGGAACATGAGAATTAACCAAATTCAATGTAAAAAGCTTCAGTATTGCAAAGACTTTTTTCTCCCCACCCCCACCCCAATAACTACCTTAAAAAACTATACTGGAATGAAAAATACAGTGATCTACAACTTTCGCAAGCTCAGATGTGTACTGAAGACAGCTGAAATTTTAGATTTTAATTTTGTTTAGAGGGGAAAAAAAAGCAAAAAAAAACAAAACAAAAACTTTCCATGTAGCAAAAACCAAATAATACCCTATATGATCTCTTGTCCTTTCAAAATACACCAGGCATTAAAAACCATTTAGCACAGCCAAAACCGGTTTGGCTCAGTGGATAGAGCGTCAGCCTGTGTACTGAAAGGTCCCAGATTTGATTCCAGTCAAAGGCATGTACTTGATTGCGGGCATATACCTGGTGGGGGTGTGCAGAAGGCAGCTGATTGATGTTTCTAACTATCTCTATCCCTTATTCTCTGTAAAAAATCAATAAAATGTATTAAAACAAACAAACAAACAAACAAACAAACAAAAAAAAACAGCACAGTGTTTTCTTCCGTGGGCATACACTTCTTTCCTAACTAGGAAAAAATTAGCTTTTTAAAAAACACAACACAACACTAAAGGACCAGAATGAGTGAAAGGGTAAGTGTACAGACACAAATGGGTGTGACTGTGTGAGGGGCAGTCCAATCCCGCACAGGAGACTGGGGAGAAGGCTGAGGAAGACCTCCCCTGGCCCAGGTCCAAACCCACCCAAGTGCACCACCCCGGACCCCAAGTGCCCGCCAAGGACAAGGCCCCAACCCTACAGACCCATCTCAGACCCTGCATGGACCACCCACCAAAGCAGACACCAGTGGGACTCCATGCACCTGGAGAGGACACTGGCAGGACTTTCTCCTGGTTCCCCTGCAGTTTTCCGAGAATACAATTACCGTAACTAATGCTGCTGCCAACACTTTAACCTCACTTTCCTTTTCTAAACAATGTTAATTTAAAGAAAAAGACAAAATATAATGCTTTAAAAAGAACTGTAAGCACAATGCACCAAATGTGTATTTATAACTGTCTTTTTTTAAACATTTATTTTCTAAGCAGTGCCATTTTTATTTTTTATTTTTTTTAAGTAAATTAGCTTTTCAACATCTGCATTTCTTCCCTAAGCAAATTCACCAAGCTACCCGTGTTGATCCACTTCTTAAAATGTTTGGTAAATGAGGCTTCTCTTTCATTAAAATTTATCTCCCAGGTTATTTAATTTTCTTCCTTGGGGTATTCCAGAAATGGGAACATACAAAAGTCATATGTAATTCAAACTTACTTGGCTTTCTGAATCCATACACAGTAGTCTGAGATATAGAGATCGTTTAGAATGTAAGCTGGGTCACTTTCCTGAAAAATTTTGTGAATATCCAGTAGACACTTTAAAACTGCACTTTTACCTAAAAGAAATTTAAAAAAATAAAATCATCCTTAAGAAAATATATCTGACTTTTTTAAACTGAGAATTTCAGACACTAAGAGGTAATATATAGCAGCTCAGAGTTTTAGATTGTTCTTCAAAATATTTTCATATTCCTTTGTTGCATAAATTTTTAAAAAAATATATATTTTATTGATTTTTCACAGAGAGGAAGAGAGAGGGATAGAGAGTTAGAAACATCGATGAGAGAGAATCATCGATTAGTTGCCTCTTGCACACCCCCTACTGGGGATGTGCCTGCAACCAAGGTACATGCCCTTGACAGGAATCGAACCCGGGACCTTTCAGTCCGCAGGCCGACGCTCTATCCACTGAGCCAAACCGGTCCTGGCTGTTGCATAAATTTATATCATACTATTAGGTCCAAAGCTCATTATATTTTCTTTAAGAATGATGAGAAAGCTGCATAAGTTATTGCTATAGCTAATTACTGTGGTTACAAAAAAAAAAAAAAAAAAAAAAAGTACTATGAACACAACTAGGTACATTAAATAAAAAGAAGCAACCTAGATTAAATGAATATTTACATGCACCATAACTTTAATTAGATAATGTTCTTTTAATCAAACGTTCAAAACACCATTGGGAATTATATTTCAGTTTTCAACTTCTTTATTTATGTCAATATTTTTTGTCAAGGAATTACCTAGTACTAACTTACATTTTTTTTTTATGTTGTAAAAGTATCTTTATTTTAAAAATCTTTATTATTGAGAATATTACAGATGTCCTCTTGTTTCCCCTTTTCCCTCCACTGCCCAAGTTTTCTTATATTGGTCCAAGACATTACATTCAATTAATATTTGACAAAGGAGGCAAATGCATTCAAAGGAATATAGACAGTCTCTTCAATAAATAGCATTGAAAACTGGATAAGTACCTGAAAAAAAAAATGAAACTAGACCACCAACTTACATCACACACAAGAATAAACTCAAAATGGATAAGATTTAAATGTAAGTCTAAACTATAAAAACCCTAGAAGAAACCATAGGCAGCAAAATCTCAGAAATCTCCTGTAGCAGTATTTTTACACATACCAAGGAAAACAAAGGGAAAAATAAACAAATGAGAGTATCTTATCTAATAAAGAGGGAATATGCTATATGACCCTCACGCCATTGCAAAGATGGCGGCCCCCACAGCCAATAAGGGGGGAATAAGCTAATTGACTGCCCCACCTTCAAAGATGGTGGCACCCACAATCCTCTCAATCCCGCTAAGGTGGCAGGCGTTCCCAGCCACTTCACATGCCTGCCTCAGGAGTCTCCCACTCTCCTCAACCCCCAGCCTCCCAGGGCCAATCCAAGGCACAGGCAAGCCTAGGATAGTGGCTGCCCAGCTGCCCAGGGCTGGCCGAGGCTTGCGCTGCCAGCAGTGGCAGCAGCAGAGGTGTGATGGGGTGTCGCCTTCCCCTGATCGCCGGGTCGCCTCCCAACCTTGGGGGCTCCTGGACTGTGAGAGAGGGCAGGCCTGCCTGAGGGACCCCTTCCAGTACATGAATTTTCATGCACCAGGCCTCTAGTAGCAAAATAAAAAGCTTCTGCACAGCAAAAGAAACCATCAACAAAATGAAAAGGGAGCCCACTATATGGGAGAACATTTTCCAATGATGAATCTAATAAGGGGTTAATTTCCAAAATATATAAGTAATTCATACAACTTAATAAAAGGAAAACAATCCAGTTTAAAAAAAAAATGGGTAAAGCTTTAACTGGTTTGGCTCAGTGGATAGAGCGTTTGCCTTCGGACTGGAGGGTCCCAGGTTCAATTCTGGTTAAGGGCATGTACCTTGGTTGTGGGCACATCTCCAGTGGGAAGTGTGCAGGAGGCAGCTGATTGATGTTTCTCTCTCATCAATGTTTCTAACTCTCTATCCCTCTCCCTTCCTCTCATGCATGGCGGGGAGGGTATATGTGTGTCCTTCAGCCCAGCCTGCACCCTCTCCAATCTGGAACCCCTCCAGGGGTGTCCAACTGCCCATCGGACATCCCTCTCACAATCCAGGACTGCTGGCTCCCACTGCTCGCCTGCCTGGCTTCCTGATTACCCCTAATCATTTCTGCCTGCCATCCTGATCACCCTCTAACCAGCCTGATTGATGTCTAACTGCTTCCCTGCCAGCCTGTTTGCCCCCAACTTCCTCTGCCAGTGGTAGCCACCTTGTTTCCACATGGGGGCAGGATCTTTGACCACATGGGGGCAGCTATTGTGTGTTGGAGTGAGTCAATCTGCATATTACTCTTTTATTAGATAGGATAGAGGCTTGGTGCATGAGTGGGGGCCAGCTGATTTGCCCTGAAGGAAGTCCCAGATCAGGGTGGGAGTTCCCTTGGGGCGTGGAGCCGCCTGGGCAAGGGGCCTGTGGCGGTTTGCAGGCCGGCCACGCACCCCAGCGACCCAATCGGAGGCCCTGATATCTGGGATTTATTTATCTTCGACAATTGAAATTTTGTAGCCTAAACCGGAGCCAAGCCTTCTGCTCACTCTATGGTGGCAGTCATTTCTGAAACTTGTAGCCTTAAGCAGAGGCCAAAACAGGCCAGGGCTGCAGAAGACTAGCTTCCTCCATTGCTGGGGGCAACCCTAGTCTCTTGCTCTCTCCAGCTCCACGGATGCTTTCTTCTACAATTGAAACTTTGTAGCCTTAAGTGGAGGCCTGGGCTGGCTAGGGCAGGCGGAAAGCTTGGCTTCCTCCATCACTAGGGAAACCCAAGACTCCATCCTGCTCTCTCTGTGTCCACAACCTTCTTGGTTGGGTTAATTTGCATACTCAATCCTGACTGGCTGGTAGGCATGGCTTGTGAGTGTAGCGGGGTGATGGTTAATTTGCATGTTACTCTTTTACTGGATAGGATTAGTGTAGATTACACTATACACCCTACAGGCCAATTTTAATTAAAAGGAGGTAATGTTGAAGGCAGAAATTTTATGACAGGAGGAGGAAATACAGCAGGTTCTTAAATAACTTTTGTTCCACTTCATTTCATTGCAACTGTGTATGGTCTGAACACTTGTCCATATCAAGTAACCTGTGGTAAAACTGGTTTTCTTCTGTTTTTCACTTCAAGTCACAGAGCCTACTGATTACATTAAGTGAGGACTCACAGAACAATCAAAAGTCACAGAAGCAAGGAAACCAAATTAGCCATATTATCCAGATAGAAACATTCCCGGAAGAACTAACTAAACTAGAAGAATTTTTTCAATAGTTTTAATTGTCATAAAGAAGAAAATACAGGCAGAGCATATGCCAATCTCTCTCTCTTCTAGGGGGTGAGGTTCAGGGAAAGACGTTGATTTTTATAACTACCAACTTAACGTTTTAAAAGTCAACAATAAGCCTTTACCAAAAAACCCCTAAAACTCTTCACCTGAAACTTGTCTAAGTGCCTCCACAGTGTGACACCCCGGATACTGCCTCTCGTGATCATACAGCTCCCTGACACTGCCAGGCTGCAGACAATGCAGGGTCTGAAGCTGCAAATCATACAGTGCATGAAGGTATGCCAGCCTGGTGGGCGGCATAGAATGGAGTAGACGTGGACTTAAAATGGGGTAATTCAGAGAATAACAGGAAAAAAATTATTTACTTAGAGCAGATAGCTCCAGTAGGGAAATAGGGGAGTAAATAGGTGAGTTTGGTAGAAGTCAGACTGTGACAAGGAGACTAATGCAACTGAACAGTCCTGTGGTGAGAGGTCTAAATGAGGTGTCTGCAGTAGGAATAAAACACTACTCCAGAGATTTTAACAAGAAAGTTATGGAAGTAAGGCCATAAATGAAAATCCATAGCAACATCACCTAATGAAATTATATAGCTTCATTTAACAGTCATGACAAAAGTAAGGTTGCCTCCTTGCTAAGGGCTAACAGGCAAATTTATTATCACAAAAGAATAGTAAAAGAAATGTCGAAAGTATTCCATATTTTTAATTTAAAGAGAAGTTACATTGTATTTTCATATTTTTATCCCTATTTTGTTTTAAAAAGATAAATACATACGGGGAAAAGTTTTAAATATGTATATAGACAATATATACATACATACATACATATATACATATACATATACAGACATTGAACAAATATGTAATGTGTGCTTGACATTACTTTATATATGAGGAATACAGTAGTTTATTCTTCTTTGCATTTCTCCTATTTTCAAAATTCTCCACAATGAACATTTATTTGTTCAAAAAAACAGACTATATAACTAAGCCTTAAAATACTGATTAAAAAAATGCTAAACATTTAAATTCATAATTGAACATTTTCTTTAATATGCATTTTTGAACAACTGAGAAGCAATATTTTGATCAGGTGTTTTAGAAAATTTACAAAAATTATGAAACAGTTTTGAAAAGGAAATTTATATACTCTTTAAAAGCCTTGCTTTCATTTTGAGTCTTATTCATCCTATTTTCACAGAATGTGTACCTCGGTTTCAGGTTTGATCCTGCTCAGTTGGGGCTTGTAAGGGAGGCAATCAATTATCCCCTCCTCCCCCGCCTCTCTTTCTCTCTCTCTCTGTTTGTTCCTCTCTCCCTTATTCTAAGATCAATAGGGGGAAAAAGTTAACAACAAAAAGCAGTCCTCAGAGTAGATGTGCTTTTCTTTGGAAGCCTTTCCTGATCTCCCAATTCTACGTCCCCTGCTTTTTCCTAGTGAATCACTGTACTTCCCCAAACAAAGTGCATTTCACTCTATTCTGAAATTGTTTATTATTTATCATCTGTCATCCAGGTAAAACTATAAACTTCATAGGCACAGGAAATTTATTTATTACTAGAGGCCTGGTGCATAAAAATTCATGCACTAGATGGGGGTCCCTCAGCCTGGCCTGTCCCCTTCTCACAGTCTGAGAGCCCTCAGGGGTGGGTGGTAACCTGACAATCCGGGGAAGGCAACATCCTTATCACACCTCTGCTGCTGCCACTGCTGGCAGCGCAAGCCTCAACAGGCCCTGGTTACCTGAACCTTGGGTGGCCCTGAGCAGCTGGGCAGCTGCCATCCAAGGCTTGCTTGCATCTCAGACCAGCCTGGGCGGCTGAGGAGCTGAGTCCCTAACCCTAAACTTGGGGACTCTGGGGAAGAAACCAAGATGGCGGCATAGGGTAGACACCTAAATGCAGACTACCACAACAATTTTAAATTTACAACTGGAAATCAGAGGAAATATCACCCTGAAACATCAGACGGCTGGCTGAGCGGCTGGCTCTGCCATCTAGGAAGGGAAGAAAAGGACGTGAGCCTCAGGAAATGAGGAGGTGTGGAGGCCTGTGCACGCGGAAAAGGCAGCCACCAAGTTCGCTGCTGGCTTACTCACGGCGCGCGGAGAGGGCTGGCAGCTAACATGCGGCTGGCTTTCTTGTTCGGGAAGAAAACAGAACTGCCCTATTGCTCTGATAGACAGTCCCAGTCAGGGAGAGGCCGGACTGTCAGGCAGTGGGCAAAGCTCTCTCGGAGGTGCGTGTATCCAGCAGCCATAACTGCGAGACTTCCCAGTGATACCAACAACAAGCAAGGCTTAACAACAAGACTGCACACAAAGCCCACAAAGGGCTGCACCAAGACTGTCCACCTCAGGTAATAGGGAAGGCTGTGGTACTGGGCTCTGCCAGGACACCTAGTACACAAAACTATTCCATCAAATCAGGGAAGCAGCTAAAATGCAGAGAAGAGGCAGGACACAAAGAAAGGAAATGGAGAAAAGATTGGACATTGAGTTCAAAATCACAGTGAGAAGGTTTTTCAAGAATTTCCTAGAAAAGGCTGATTAAATAAACGAGACCTATGAGGATATGAAAAGGTATCAACTAAAAATAAAGAATACATTGTCTAAAATAAAAAATATTATACAGAGTCCTAAAAACAGAATGGAAGATTGCAAGAATCAAGTCAAAGATTTGGAACACAAAGAGCCAGAGGACACTCCTCCACAGAAGCAAGAAGAAAAAAGAATCCAGAAAGTTGAAGATAGTGTAAGAAACCTCTGGGACAACTTCAAGAGAACCAACATCAGAATTATGGGGGTCCCAAAAGAAGAAAGAGAGAGCAAGATACCGAAAACATATTGGAAGAAATAGTGACAGAAAACTTCCCCCACCTGGTGAAAGAATAAGACTTACAAGTCCAGGAAGTACACAGAACCCCAAACAAAAGGATTCCAAAGAGGACCACACCAAGACACATCATAATTAAAATTCCAAGAGCAAAAGACAAAGAGAGAATATTAAAAGCAGCAAGAGAAAAGCAGGTAGTTACCTATAAAGGAGCATCCATACGATTGTCAGCTTATTTCTCAACAGAAACCATGCAGGCCAGACAGGAATGGCAAGAAATATTCAAGGTGATGAATAGCAAGAACCTACAGCCAAAAATAATCTACCCAGCAAAGTTATCACTCAGAATCGAGGGCCAGATAAAGAGCTTCACTAATAATTTAAAAAAGTTATTTGATCTGTTTTGTAGTTTTCGTTTGGCGTTCGTTGAAAAATGGAAAATCAAAAGGAACATTTTTGTCATACTTTGCTTTTTTATTTCCGCAAAGGGAAAAATGCATCGCAAGCTCATAAAAAGTTATGTGCTGTTTATGGTGACGAAGCCTTAAAAGAACGGCAGTGTCAAAATTGGTTTGCCAAATTTCGTTCTGGTGATTTTTCACTCAAAGATGAAAAACGCTCTGGTCGTCCAGTTGAAGTTGATGACGCCCTAATCAAAGCAATAATCAATTCGGACTGTCACAGTACAACACGTGAGATTGCAGAGAAGCTTCATGTATCACATACATGCATTGAAAATCACTTAAAACAACTGGCTATGTTCAAAAACTCGATACATGGGTTCCTCACGAACTGAAAGAATCACAGTTAACGCAACGCATTAGCAGCTGCGATTTGCTAAAGAAACGTAATGAAAATGATCCATTTTTAAAACGACTGATAACTGGCAATGAAAAATGGGTTGTTTACAACAATATCAAGCGGAAAAGATCGTGGAGCAGGCCAGGTGAACCAACTCAAACAACATCAAAAGCTGATATTCATCAAAAGAAGGTTTTGTTATCAGTTTGGTGGGATTACAAAGGAATTGTCTACTTTGAACTCTTACCACCCAACCGAACGATCAATTCTGATGTCTACATTGAACAACTAACGAAATTAAACAATGCAGTTGAAGAAAAGCGGCCCGAATTGACAAATCGAAAAGGTGTTGTATTCCATCATGACAATGCAAGGCCACACACATCTTTGGTCACTCGGCAAAAATTAATGGAGCTTGGTTGAGATGTTTTGCCACATCCACCATATAGTCCTGACCTTGCACCATCTGATTACTTTTTGTTTCGATCTTTACAAAACTCCTTGAATGGTAAAAATTTCAATAATGATGATGATGTCAAATCGTACCTGATTCAGTTTTTTGCTAATAAAAACCAGAAGTTTTTTGAACGTGGGATTATGATGCTGCCTGAAAGATGGCAAAAGGTCATTGATCAAAATGGGCAATACATTACAGAATAAAGTTATTTAGTTCCCTGAAAAAATTTTAAAAATCCGCAATTACTTAGTTGCCGACCCAATATATGAATTGCTGAAGGGGGTTCTTTTGGAAGAGAAAGAAAATAAAGATAAAAATTATGAACAACAAATATTGAATACATAACTATCAACAAGTGAATCTAAAAACCCAAGGGAATTAAAAAATCTGAACAATATTAACTGGTGAATATAATAGAATCAGAGGTATGGAAGGGGAGTGAACTGACGATTCTTGGGGAAAAGGGGAGTGGGGGTTTGGGAAGAGACTGAAGAAAAACTGTGCACCTATGGATGAGGACAATGGGGGGTGGGGAAAGGGCAGAGGGAGGGGTGGGAACCTGGTGGAGGGGAGCAATATAGGGGAAAAAAAGAGGAACATTTGTAATAATCTGAACAATAAAGATTTAAAAAAAAAAGGAAAGTGGAAAAAAAAAAAAGAAACTTGGGGACTCCAGAAATAGGTGCATGGGATGGGCGGACCCACCTGGGGGTGGGCCCTGCCATGCCATGAGCCTGCCGCCCCAGCCGGACTAAGGGGACTGGGCACTACCATCCTGTGGCTGTGGGTGCCGCCATCTTTGTGAGGGCATGATGGTCAATTAACATATTCCCTGTTTATTAGATAGGCTTATACCTACAGTCCTAGCATAGTACCTAGAAATTGTAAGCACCAAGAAAAACTGAATGTTGAAATCTACTAGAATACAAAGTGGTTTGAAATATGATGTGTACCTTCTTTATTTACCTTCCCACTCTTTTTATCTGATTTGTGTGATTATATATCTGTATAAAAACACTATTACTTTACATATACCTGGGAGGAAAAGTGGTTGAATGAATCATTTTCATTATTTACATATAGAAAAAAAGAGTATTACTTCCTCAGACTAAAAACTTGTAATTTTTCATTCTCCATTCTGTAAGCACAATAATACCTCACCTAGTTGCAGTATCTTTATAGTGTCTCTGCAGGCTTTTGTCACCAGCTTGAAATGGCGGTAAAGTGGGTAGCACAAAACTCTTCTTCCAAAAGACACCAGGATGTCATGAACATTAGTCCAAGTCTATGAAGTATCAGTTAAATAAGTAAACATTCCATATTACACAAACAAAAGTACATCATGAAATACTGTCCATTAAAAATTAAAAGTATGGCCCTAGCTGATCTGGCTCAGTGGATAGAGTGCCAACGGGTCCCAGGTTCAATTCCAGGCAAGGGCATCAAATTCGGGACCTTATTATTTATTATTATCCCCACAGTTCTAGCATAGTACCTAGAAATTATAGGCACCCATGAAAAACAAGATTACAAAGTGATTTAAATGTGGGACTTAGCTTGTTTTAAATATGGACCTCGGTTACAGGCTCCTCTGCAGCCTGGGGTCTGGTCAGGGCAAACACAGGGGGCAACCAATCTATGTATTTCTCGCACATTGATATTTCTCTCTGTCTTTCCCTCTCTCTTCTACTCGCGCTCCTCCCCCCCCAAAAAAACAAAAAAGCAATGGAAAAATATCCACAGGTGAGGATTTAAATTTTTTTTTTTTTAGTTTGGATTATTGTGAAGCCAAGTAGAAGAGAAATATAAAACCATAAAGTGAGTTTATTGTACACCTTATAATAAATTAATCTTATTAGTCTTAGTAATTTCCGTATTTTATCAACATATCACAAAGGCTCTTTAAAAATCACATATGTAGTAGGAAAGCTTTTAAAAGTTTCTTAAGAATTACAAATGTGAATCTAAAACATATGGGACTAAACCAAACACACATGCACACAAAAGACCTTTCTCAATAATCTATATTTTATGCTTTCGTCTTTCAGGACCATCCCAGAGAGTAGAGATGAAAGGTTTAGAACTTTTTAGTGGTGTGTGTTCAGTCTCTCTCTTTTTCACTTTGGGCATGAATAATACAAAGTATTTATATTTACTTCAGCAATTTATTTTTAATCATCAAAGAGAAAACTAATAATTCCTGGAGAAAAAAGTGTTTTGTAAATAGTATTAAACTGATAACCATTAGCAATTGAAAACTTACTGAAATTACTAGACAAAGGTAATTTTTTACCAAACTGTTTTCAAATTGAGGTGTTTTTGTTTGTTTTGTTTTCATTGATTTCAGAGAGGAAGGGAGAGGGAGAGATAGAAATATCAATGATGAGAAAGAGTCACTGATCAGCCTCCTACATGCTCCTACCAAGGATTGAGGCCACAACCTGGAAATCAAACCACGACCTCCTGTTCATAGGCTGATGCTCAACCACTGAACTATACTGGCCGGACTTAAAATGAGTTTTGATAAACAATGTTACCCATATATAAAACTTAAAATATAAAATTAACACTAAGGGAGCAGCATAATTTCCATGTATATTAACTTTAATAAATGGGAGATCTGATTAAGAATTTTGAATATCTGACAAAGAATAGTTTGTATCTAAAAAGAGCTATGAACTTTTTTTTTACATATATATTTTCTTGATTTTTTACAGAGAGGAAAGGAAAGGGATAGAGAGCCAGAAACATTGATGAGAGAAAAAGATCAACCAGCTGCCTCCTACACACTCACCACTGGGGATGTGCCCACAACCAAGGTGCATGCCCTTGACTGGAATCGAACCAGGGACCCTTCAGTTCGAAGGCTGAAGCTCTATCCACTGACCCAAACTGGTTAGGGTGAGCTATGAACTTTTTAAAAATTCTAGCAAAAAAAATGAAATACTTATAAAAGTTTGACGGTTATTAACACATCTGGCAATTTCAAGTTTTCTCAAAAACTAAAAATTTCAAAATAAAATCACATATAGATGATGTTATTCATGTAGACTTTAATAACCAAACTATAAAATTGATCACCAACTCCATAATGAATGCAATTATTACAAAACCAGTTTCTCCAATATATGCTAATGGCAATATGTAGAACCTAAATGAAGTCTAGTGAACAGCACTTCTCTATATTTAATCCTATATAATAAAAGCCTAATATGCTAAGTGTCCAGTCAACTGGTTGGTCGATCAACCAATCAAAGTATAATATGCTAATGATATGCTAAGGCCACTCAACCACTCCTTTTGACGTGCAATGACCACCAGGGGGAAGACACTCCAACAGGTAGGTTAGCTTGCTGCTAGAGTCCAGCTGACTGGGACTGACCAAGGTGGGCCAGACATGCTGTGGAGTCCTCCCGCTGTCCCTCCTTAGCTGGCCAACCTCCCGTGTCCTTCCCCAGCCCCGATCATGCACCGATGGGGTCCCTAAGCCTGGCCTGTGCCCTCTCACAATCTGGGACCCCTGGGGGGATCTCAGAGAGGTGGTTTTGGCTCAATCCTGCAGGCCAGGCTGAGGGACCCCACTGGTACACAAATTTGTGCACCAGGCCTCTAGTATACGCATAAAATCCTGGAGATCTAGCTACAGATTCTGACTTAGTGTGTCTGGACTGATGTTATGTGCTGCTAGCAAGCTCCCAGCCAAGGATGCTGGTCAAGCTGTTGGTCCATGGACCAGTCTGGGAGCAGCAAGATTCTGTGATAAAATGTTTCACTTCCTGTTTACAACTTACCTTTTACTTTAATCAAATGATGCCATGAAACAACTTTGATTTTACAACTTAAAATGTACTATATGTGGGATTTTAACTGGGGGAAATTTAAATGGACACTTTTTAAAGCTTCTACTCTTAATTACAGATTGTCCAAAACAGGTAAATTTAAAGATATCACCCATTGGTATTTTCAATAAAACCTACACAACTATTTTCTAGAAAATATATGTAAAAACAAGTATCACTATATTAAAAGACTTATCAGTTCTAACTACTAATTCTAGAACCTAAGAGAAGTTAGTTATGCTACATGTGCTAAGTTTCCTGGTCTGTAAAATGTAAATATAGTACTTCTCACAGACTATGGGAAGGAGTTAGTGAGGGAATGCATGTACTACGCTTCCACAGCTCCTGGTGGTCAGTGACAGCCAGTGGTAGGACCACTGGGTGTGATTCCCATCTTTGAGCTCTGAGCCCCAATATATTGCAACTCACAAACATGCCTCAACTCCACCCACAGTCTCCCCCAACAGACCACATACGCATTCTTTCTCCAAAGTGTGTTCTCCCTCTCCTGACTTCCAAAATACCCCACCTATTCATTAGTATACTATAATTAGATAAGAGTAACAAATGGAATCAGAATTTTATTAAAAAGATGAAAAGTAAACTTGTACAATAAAGCTTCCGTTTTTAAAAAGTCAAGGAATTGCTTGAATTACCCAAACTGAATTAATAACAATAAAAAAACAAAAAAAACAACAACACATTTCTGGACAAACAAATCTAAATAATTGCAATTAAAAATCATACCTCAAACCAGCACAGTGTTGGACTCAGTTTTCTGATATTCCACGCAGATTCAACCTTTATTTGTTTTAGAGAAAAGAATACTGTCACATGAGAGATAAAGTAATATAAAAACAAATATCCATTTATCCAAATAGCATGTGAGTAGTGTTGACATACATATAAAAACTAAGTGTCTATGATTGCAAAAAAATAATAATAAAATTGCTTTACTAAATGCAGGTGCTATCAAAGCCAAGTTTCTGTCTATTTGGACTTTACAAAGCAAAGCTTTCCCACTGAGAAGAGTCCTAGGGCCCAAGAGCAAATGAGCACAGTTTTGAAAGTAAAATTAAAGGAAAGTGATGCTTGCTCAAGTTCTGTCCTTTTCAGCTAAGTTACCACCTCCCGACCTGCTACCAATGTACGTAAAGATAATAGGAATGTGTGTCTGGCACAAAGAAAAGCTGCTCAAGAACCTGGCCTTCAGAAAATGCTTGTGAGACAGTATATTCTAAAGGAGGGTTTAAAGTTCTAGACCTCATCGTTTCAAATATGTAAATACAAGAATAAAGAATAGCCAAAACCTGTTTGGCTCAGTAGATAGAGCGTCAGCCTACGGACTGAAAGGTCCCAGGTTTGATTCCGATTAAGGGCATGTACCTTGGTTTCGGGCACATCATCAGTGGGGGTGTGCAGGAGGCAGCTGATAGATGTTTGTCTCGCATCAGTGTTTCTAACTCTCTACCCCTCTCCCTTCCTCTCTGTAAAAAACCAATAAAGATATATTATTTTAAAAAGTATAAAGAATAAATTTATTGAGTAAAGTTAAACACTTACTTATCTCAAGCAAAAATATAAATCACTTTTTTTGCCAAAGAAAACATTTTCTCCAATTGTAGTATCTTAAAAAGATGAGTGTAAACAAAAACCATTTTCAGTTATATTAGGCCCTGGATACAATCATTTATATTCATTTTGGAGTGAAATGAAAATCTCAAGAGTCTCTTGAAATTTTCAGAATCATGACAATATAAATAATCTTGGCACATATAAAATTATAAACCTAAAACTATGATGTTAACTGAGACCAGCAGATTAAATAATGCATACATCACGGCCCAATATACACATACATGCAAACATACATGTGCACAATGAAAGAGTTAAAGAGATACATCACCTTTTTACAGTGGCTTTTCCTGGGGCTCAGATTACAGGAAATTTTAATGATTTTTTTCCCTTTACAATGATACATAGTATTTGTGTATTTAAATTTTTAAGAAAGCATGTGCACAGCTCAAGAAAAGCCCTTTGAGCAAGGATAAACAAAAATAGCTGCAGGGCACATTAACCAGAAAGACTTTTTATTGTTTCCCAGATTTTTTAAAAATAAATCTTTATTGTTCATATTATTACAAATGTTCATTTTTCCCCCCCCTCCATTGCTCCCCTCCACCAGGTTCCCACCCCACCCTCTGCCCTTTCCCCACCCCCCATTGTCCTCATCCATAGGTGCAGTTTTTCTTCAGTATCTTCCCGCACCCCCCACTCCCCTTTTCCCAAAGAATTGTCAGTCTACTCCCCTTCCATACCTCTGATTCTATTATATTCACCAGTTAATATTGTTCAGATTTTTTAATTCCCTTGGTTTTTAGATTCACTTGTTAATAGTTACATATTTGTTGTTCATAATTTTTATCTTTATTTTCTTCCTCTTCCTAAAGAACCTCCTTCAGCAATTCATATAATTCTGGTTTGGCAGTGATGAACTCCTTTAGCTTCTTTTTTATTTCTGAAGCTCTTTATCTGGCCTTCGATTCTGAGTGATAGCTTTGCTGAGTAGAGTATTTTTGGCTGTAGGTTCTTGTTATTCATCACCTTGAATATTTCTTGCCATTCCCGTCTGGCCTGCATGGTTTCTGTTGAGAAATCAGCTGACAGTCGTATGGGTGCTCCTATATAGGTAACTATCTGCTTTTCTCTTCCTGCTTTTAATATTCTTTGTCTTTTGCTCTTGGAATTTTAATTATGATGTGTCTTGGTGTGATCCTCTTTAGATTCCTTTTGTTTGGGGTTCTGTGTGCTTCCTGGGCTTGTAAGTCTAATTCTTTCACCACGTGGGGGAAGTTTTCTGTCACTATTTCTTCAAGTATGTTTTCGGTGTTTTGCTCTCTCTCTTCTTCTGGGACCCCCATAATTCATTCTTGCAATTTTCCATTCGGTTTTTAGGACTGTGTATAATATTTTTTATTTCAGACAATGTTTTCTTTATTTCTAGTTGATCCCTTTTAATTCTAGTTGATCCCTTTATATTTCTAGTTGATCCCTTATCATATCCTCATAGGTCTCGTTTATTTTATCGGCCTTTTCTAGGAAATTCTTGAAAAACCTTATAAGCGTGGTTTTGAACTCTAAATCCAGTCGCTTTTTGTCCTCCATTTCTTTCGTTTGTGATCTGTTTCTTTGTCTTGGCATTTTCGCTGCTTCCCTGAGTAGGTATGGTGGCTTTATGTGCTAAGGTGTCCTATATGGTTCAGTGGGTCAGTCTCCCAGTTACCTGAGGTGGACACTCTTGGTGTGCCCCCCTTTATGGACTGTATATACAGCCTTGTTGTAATTAAGTCTTGATTGTTGTTGGTATCACTGGGAGGAACTGACCTCCAGGCCAATTGGCTGTGAGGATCAGCTGTGTCTGCCAGGAGACAACCTTATTCTACTAGATTTGGAAAATTGTAAAAGCCTCTGTTCTCAGCTTGGATGGGGTGGAGTTTCAGGGTGGAACCTACAGCCTTGGCTTCTCATCAGCCCTGGCCTATGAGGTTCCTGAGTCTCAGTGTTCCTCAGTATCCTTTGGTACTCGCTGTAAGCATCTCTGAGAGAAAGGTGCCCTCAAGTTTTGCCTGCTACCAAATAGTCTAGGCTCTCCCTCAATGAGTCTGGAACTAGGGTTCAGTGCGGTTGGAAGAGGGGTTCAGAGCAATCTGGAGCTTTTGTCTCCTTCCCACTAGGGCAATCCCGCGACACAGTCAACACTCTGTTCTCTGTGCGTAATGTGCGCGCCTCCGGAACTGCCTTTCACCGCTCCCCTGAGTTTCCACCTTACAGCCCAGACTCCCTCCATATTAGCCTGGGTCCCCAGGGTCTCACCCAGAACTGGGGTTCAGCGCTGTTGGAGCTGGGGTTCAGCACAGTCCAGAGCTTTTATCTCCTTTCCACTAGGTAACACCAGCCAGGCACTCAGCCGCCCCTCCTCTCTGGCTCCTTTCTCTCCCCGCGCGCATCGTGTCTCCATACCTTAGGCTTTTACAGATCCTCTGATTTTCCTTCTGGTTTTTTCTTTCCTTCTAATTGTAGAATTTCCAGTCAGTCAACTTTCCTGTAGTTCTGGATAATGTCCAATTTATATTTTAGTTGTGTTTTTTGAAATTGTTGTGTGAGGCTGCAGTTAGGTGTTTACCTATGCCGCCATCTTGGTTTCTCCTCCTGTTTCCCAGATTTTTTAAAAGTAGAGATGAGGCCCTAACCGGTTTGGTTCTGTGGATAGAATATGGGCCTGAGGCCCGAAGGGTACCAAGTTCGATTCTGGCAAGGGCATGTACATTGGTTGCAGGCACATCCCCAGTAGGGAGTGTGCAGGAGGCAGCTAATCAATGTTTCTCTATCATCGATGTTTTTAACTCTCTATCCTGCTCCCTTCCTCTCTGTAAAAAATCACTAAAATATATTAAAAGGAAAAAAAAAAGTAGAGGTGAGAAAAATGTTTGGCTCTTCATTTACAAACAAATGTGGTTTGAGGAGAGCTACAAAATCTACGTAATTTAAAAGAGTATAATTTAAGAATACTGATGTGCTTCACAAAGCATTTACTTTTAGAACAGGACTAGAGGCCCTCCGCACAAAATTCATCCACTTGTGTGTGGGGGGGTGTCCCTCACCCAGCCTGCACTCTCTCGCAGTCCAGGAGCCCTTGGGTATGTCCAACTGATGGCTTAGGCCGCTCTAGTAGGACACTGTTAGCACTCCTCGGAGGCAACAGGAGTTCCCCCGCCTGCCAGCTGTGAGGTCTGGCTTCTGGCTAACGGCACTGCCCCTGTGGGAGCACTGATCACCAAGGGGCAGCTCCTGCGTTGAGTGTCATTCTGCCGTTCAGTCGATGTGCAATATTAGCCTTTTATATATAGGATTTCTTTAAGATTCCTATACCTTGCACCTGCTAATTAACAGCTTAGAGAAAGAATATAAACGGGTTGCTAGTTTGCCCCTTTCCAATGTCAAGTGTCTTATTTGAGCAATTTATCTCCTAAAGATCCTTTTTCTTAACCTCAATTTTACTTCTCCTCTTTGCTATATGTGTAGACACTGATGCCAAGAGAGAAAAGAAAGACACCAAGTAAGCATTATGCTTCCATGTTGATACCCACCATCAACAAACACGTGCAACTCTGCCCCAAGCACCCCTAAGTAGTGATCACCACAGATCTTCCTCCATGAGAAGCGTGAAGTACTAATACAGCTTACTCAGTGCAGGAGTCTAGGCCAACAAGCACAGGCACACATGCACTTACGTTCTTCTCTCCTTCATTGACACGAGTGTCATAGCAATAGGCCAGAAGGATATCAATCAGACTGTAGTACACTTGACGTTGGGCTCTTTTGTCCAGCAGATAAGACTTATGGACAAATTTTCGCAGCTGATATTTCTCTTCTTCAGAGAAAGATACTAGAAGAAAATGTATTTAAAAATTAGATGTTCCATCCAGTTTTGTAGAGCCCCCCAATACTGAGATCTGTCAAAATTAGAACTTTGATTATAGAAACTGAAATAGACATTTAATTCTAGATACATAAACAATTTTTAAATTAGACTTCATTGTTTTTTTTATTTATTCTTTAAAATATATAATTATTGATTTCAGAGAGGAAGGAAGAAGAAAATAGAGATATAAATATCAATGATGAGAATCATTGATTGGCTGCACGCCCCCTACTTGGCATCAAGCCCACAACCCAGGCATGTGCCCTTGACCAGAATCAAACCCGGGACCCTTCAGTCCAGTAGTTGCCAACCTTTCAGACCTCATGGACCACCAGTGTCCACAGACCACTTTTTGCTTCAGTCCATAGGCTGACATTCTATCCACTGAGCCAAACAAGCGAGAGCTAGACTTCACCATGTTATTAATAGCTTTGTATTTGCTCAAATCCTATGAGGGCTAAATAAAGCAAAAATGTCTACACAATTCTTATTGCTATTACCAGATCTCTTACATCTCTTCTTGCTAAAGTATTCTGTATTCAAGGCATCTGAATGTCAGTTATTGACTTTAAAATTACCATAATATATTTTGACAACAGAAAGCATCTCTAATAATAAAAGCTTAATATGCTAATTAGAGCAGATGACCTTCTGGACAAAGCCAGGACCAAGTTCGATTCTGGCAAGGGCATGTACATTGGTTGCAGGCACATCCCCAGTAGGGAGTGTGCAGGAGGCAGCTAATCAATGTTTCTGCCAGGTGCCGGCAGCCAGGGGAAGGAAGGCCTACTCCTGCATGAATTTCGTGCATCAGGCCTCTAGTATAATAGAGCTAAGTAAAGCACTCTTTAAATATTCACTATTCATTTTAAAAGTTCCATACAAAAAGTAGGAATATTCTCTTATATTAGTCCATTTAAGAAGGAATTCGGAGCCAAGAGCCCCCTGCAGAATATTCTCTATAAATTCTTTATAATATTCTCTATAAAAAGAAACAAAATTATACATAAATACATAAGTGTGGCCATATCACACATACTTATGGAAAGAGGATGTTTCTTTTCAATAGTCCTTTCCTTTTTCTTGTTCTGCTTGGCACCCTCTTTTCATCTTCACCAACAGTCCCAAGTTAAAAATTTAGTATATATACTAATTATTACATATAGCATATACTAATTTTTCTTTCTTTTATTTTTAATTTTATTGTTTAAGGCGTGGTTGGCAAACTGTGGCTCGGGAGCCATATGCGGCTCTTTAGCCCCTTGAATGTGGCTCTTCCACAAAATACCATGGCCTGGGCGAGTCTATTTTGAAGAAGTGGTGTTAGAAGAAGCTAAGTTTAAAAAATGTGGCTCTCAAAAGAAATTTCAATTGTTGTACTGTTGATATTTGGCTCTGTTGACTAATGAGTTTGCCAACCACTAGTTTAAGGTATTACAAGTATTAGTACATATGTTTCCCCCCGACACTGACCTACCAACCCCCCCAGCCTCTCCTACCCCTGGCACTTGCCCTCGTTCCCCTACCTCCAGAGTCTTGAGTCTGTTGGTTGAGCTTATGCGCATGTATACAAGTCCTTCGGTTGATCTCTTACTCCCCTCAACCCTCCCCTACCTTCCCGCTGTAGTTTGACAGTCTGTTTGATGCTTCTTTGCCTGTCTATTTTTGTTCAACAGTTTACAATGTTCTTTATATCTATAAATGAGACCCCTGACCTTTCACATGGCTGGTCCTGCGGTTTGGACCCCTGACCTTTCACATGGCTGGTCCTGTGGTTTGGATCCTCCCCTCCCCGTCCCTCCCCTGGCATGTTGCTAGTCCTGTAAGACCCTCTGCGGGAAGGAACAGGGGCTGGAGAATAGCCCTTCGGCATCAAGCCCCCAGGACAGAGGTTCTGACCGCATCAGATACATCCAGGCCCAGAAACAGCCAAAGCAGACAAGCAAACCCATGGCTGCCCGGACCAGCTGCCCCAGGGAGGGCCTGAAAGACACACCTGGAGCTGATGCATCTCAGGGACCCTCCTCGGAGGGCGCAGAGACACCCTCAGGACAGGACCAGTGCTGCTCTCTGGGAGCAGCCTGGCCTTGCCCGTCCCTCCCCCAGGGCGTGTCCTGCTCCCGTCTCCTCAGCGGCCAGGGCCCTTCTTCCTCGTCCGCTCTTGTTCCCGCTGCCATTTCTCCTGCCGCTCACTCCCACCCCGTGGCTTCCCCAGGGAACGCTCCTGCAGGGGGCTCTTGGCTCCGAATTCCTTCTCAGCCAGGACTCAGGGACCAGGCTGCTGCACCGGGTCAGGTCTGAGCCCACTGGCCACCTGGGCCATCTCCCCACCCACAGCCCCGCCTGCGATCTGAGCAATGGGAACAGAAACGGGCCTGATACAGCTGTGAGGCAGGTCAGCGACGTGCTCCCCACGGGTCAGAGGTGGAGGGAGTGTCTGGCCACTGCTCTGGGGGGCTCTGCGCCACCGTTTCGGTGTCTGCCCTGACCCGCTCTCCTCGAATCCCTACTCGGTGGCCCAGGGAGGCTGAGCCCCTTGTCCTCCGGTTTCTGCCTGGACTCGACCATTCATCCCTTTCCATCTTCCTCGAAGGTTGGCAGCTCCCTTCCAAGGCCACAGCACTCACCAGCTCCTCCCGCCAGGCCAGAGCAAAGCCAGAGGAAGAAGCAGGACCGATCACTCACACGGCCTCTGTTCAGTTCACATGGTTTTCCAAACTCACTCTGTCCTCTCAGACCAACCTGAAGTTCAGCCCGGCTCCTTTGGTTTTAAGGCTTCCTTCCAGCAGGTTTGCAAATCACAGGAGCAATCTTAAGTACACTTACTGAAGTCATTAAAATACACAGCACCAAAAAAAGGTTTTACAATATATTTTATAATTATTTTTCCAACAATGTTTAAAAAATAAAACAAAAAAATGTATTTGCACAAGCATTACTTTCATAAATGACAAATGACTAAGAATGCAGTTATTTAACTTGCTGGAAGCAACATAAAAATGCATATTTTTAAACTTTATACTGCAGGTGTCAGGTAAAGCATTCTTTAGGACACATTTAAAACAAAATAAGGGCTCATATCAAGACCCCTTAATTTAAACAGAAGCTAATTAATCTGACTTAAGGAAATTGTAAAGAACACATTGCACGAAGAAAGTATGCCTGACAAAGCATTTTAAGACCCCCTGGTATTCAACAAGGTTTAAGACAGTTACTCCCTTAGGTATAACTTTTTAAAAATATATATATTTTATTGATTTTTTTACTGAGAGAAAGAGAGAGAGATAGAGAGTTAGAAACATCGATGAGAGAGAATCATCGATCAGCTGCCTCTTGCACACCCCCTATTGGGGAGGTGCCCGCAACCAAAGTACATGCCCTTGACCGGAATCGAACCAGGGACCTTTCAGTCCGCAGGCTGACGCTCTATCCACTGAGCCAAACTGGTTTCGGCATGTACCAGATTCTTGATCTGAAGTTAACCAGTGAAAGACAACATGGGAAACATGGAAAATCCATCCTCATGAAACTGCAGCTCAGCAGAAGCATAGCATTTAACACTTGCAATTACAAGCATTTGGGGAGAAAGATCAGGACCAGGACAAAACTGAAGAGATTAACGAAAGTATCTGCATTGTAACTCAGGGCTCTGAAGAAAATGACAAGAACCATAATGGAGGCAAGAGGCTTACCTGAAGCTGAAAACAATTATAGCACAATATTGTAAGATGAGGACGAGTGAAAGGCCCCTCACATTTGCACTGTTATATCTGTCTGGTAACACCTGACCAGGGAGCCTAAAGGAAGGAGGCCTGGAGGCGAAGGAAAGAGAGGAAAAGGAGGGAAAACTGGAGCAGCAGCATGCTCCTTGAGAACTTGAAGGTTTATTTCTCTGTTTACTTCTTTTCTCCCATATTTTATTCTGGCTTAGCACACTTCAATGTATTACTCCAATTCAAGAGGCCTCAAATATTTGAACACAGAAAAAAACTGAAAGAAAAATCTCACTAACAAAGAACTCCCTTTTAAAGCTTTGTAAATGCACAAAAATTGTAATTTCACAGAAAGCCATTCAATTCCTTGCTCTCCTGCCAGTGATTTCACTGTATAATAATAATATTTCTGATTGATTCAAAATGGCAGCAGAGTAAGTGGAAGCTACACTAACATTCCTAGGACCAAACTGAAATGTAGAAAAACCAATCTGGAAAATCAACTGAGGACTAGCTGGAGAGTACCCTGACAACCAAGGATGGAAAGGTAAGATCACATAGAAACTAGAAGGAATGCGAAGATGAGAAATGGTTAGCTGGGCTCTCACAGATGGAGGCTGAAGGTGTGGGGGGGTTTCCACTGAAAAGTCTGGGTTCTAAACCCCAAGCTGAGCACTAAAACTGAGAAAGGTACCCACAAAACAAATGGCTGTGAAAAGCAGCAGGATTGTTGTCTGCCAGGAGAGATGGCTGAAAATGCAGGCACCCTCTTAAAGGGCCAATGTACAAAATTTCGCGTAGCCACTCACCTGGGGTTCCAGCAGAGAGAGGGCAGAGTAGACCGCAGCCCTGTGAGGAGATTCCCGGCGTGGGGATCCTGGGATTGGAACTCAGAGGGCAGCCCCCCCGTTTCCTGTGCTGAGTCCTTCCTTCACGATGTGGACATCTTTTACCAGCGGATCTTTGCTGACCAGGAGGTTTTTGATTGGGGGAAAGGCAGTGGTCCCAAGCAGTTGGAAGACGTATTCCCCACCCAGTGGTCGGTAGCTTAAGGCTAATCAAGACTGAAAACAATCAGACTGCTGGCAGAGGAGGGTCTCTGGAGGTTTTGAGTCTTTGCCTTATCTCCTTCTGAGCCCAGGGCCAGAAAAAGCAGACCCTGGTGCACATCCTAGTCCTTTCCAAAGGCACCCAGCCCCAGCAGATGAGCCACAGGCTGTGGATTGCTGATAGCTCCAAACAGGGACTCAG